TGTCCTATCCTCTTTTAAAGGCATCTAGGCCAGATGCCATCATCACATCCTGTGGCAAGGAGTTCCACAGGCTAACAACACGCCGAGTAAAGAAATAGTTTCTTTTGTCTGTTCTCACTCTCCCAACACTCAATTGGAGTGGATGTCCCCTGGTTCTAATATTGCGTGAGAGGGGAAAGAGCTTCCCTCTATCCACTTTATCCATCCCCTGCATAATTTTATACGTCTCAACCATATCCCCCCTCAGGCGCCTTTTCTCTAGACTAAGAGGCCCAAATGTTGTAGCCTTTCCTCATACTGGCAATATATATTCTCCAGTTTCTCCCTTTGGACTCTCCATTTACTGATCTTCCTAGCAAAAGGGCTCCCTTTCAGGTACAATGGAGCCTTACAGAAGAACAAACTTTCCAATCTCTCAAGGAAGCCCCTTGAGAAGCCCCATTTTTGTGAGCTCCCCTTGTCCCCGAAGGTTGCCATACCACAAACAGAGAAGTTGATAACCTCCCCAGAGTCAACTATGGAAGCGGCCAATGAGGAAGCAACAAGAGGGCTTCGCCCCGACTTTCCAAAGGGTCAGGAACGTTCTAGAAGGAACAAGGCTCAGGGTTAGACACATTGTAAGGAAAAGAAGAGGAAGACCCCCAAAGGCACAAAAGGAGAAGGAGAAAGCAGGAGTGACTGGTGAGCAGTTGAGGAAGAGAAAAAGGAGGCAGGAGAAGACAAGAAAGGGAGAACTGGGTAGAAGTGCTGGAGTGACCCCAGCAGCAACTGCTTAACAAGTTCTGAAAGCCTCATGTTTCAGCTGGCTAAGAGATACAGAGAAGATATTAATGCCCACTCCAACACAGTTGCAATGGTAGAGAAAGCAGAGACAGTTGAATTGCCTCTGATAACTTGAACCTGTGAAGGACATCTTCCTCCTGAAGCAGAGGGCAGCAGCAAGGACAATTATGAGTCCTAAGAGACTGGTAAGAGAGACTGAAGTAAGCACTCCCCATCTTTAGATACTAGGGTTGCCTAAAATCAGACTGATTTGGTTGGACTAAAGGAGGGTACAGAAACCCTGGCCAGCATAGTTGTTGGGAAGGCTTCTGGGAATTGCAGTCCAGGAACACCAGGGTCACCCAAGGCTGGGAACCACTAGCATAGGTGATTAGAACAGCCTGGAGTTACTTTGTTGGTTTAGCCTATAAAGATTGTGTTAAATACAAGCTTTGACTCCTACCCTTATATTAGAACTCTTTGAGGCCCCCTGCCCTTGGAAGATATGGGGGCAGTATAGCGGGACACTAAGATTTCTGTGTTATGTTACACAACTGCACTTATCCTTTGCTTTCATATACTGTACAGCAATCCTTACAATTTTCACTTTTCGATTTAGATTTCCCAAAGTATCTTAAATTGTCTAGAATATTGTATAAAGAAGGAGCACCGGCTTTGTTTCTGGTTTGTTAAAAACATAAGAATAAGACAGCACAGTCTTTCTGCATGAGCAAGTTGGCTCTCATTTGAAGGAGGAGAGATCCTGTTTCATTCTATGTCAATGAAGCTTTGAATGCAGCCGACTATTTTATTGGCATGCTATTATGCTTCCTTCATTCCAATCGTGAGCTTCTTTGTTTCATAGAGGCAAGTCTAGCAACTCAGCCTTTTGGTTCAAATGCTCACACAAGAGTCGTTTCTAGTTCATTAGGAAACAAGATTGGTAGGGGCTTCAGATCTGGCGTCTGGTTCTCAAACCTCACTCTTTTGGCAGCCTTCGGTAAAATTTAAGAAGCACAAAAGATTCCTCCAAATAAATAAATAAATAAATAAATAAATGAAAAAAGAAAGAGAAAATCAGTATGACACTTTAGACGTCCTAGAACCAGGAGGATATAATGCCCTCAGTAAAACTGGTCATTGGTCAAAGAATATTACTAGTAATAATTTTTAAAAGTCATATAAAGAAAACATATAGCAAAGCAGCAATGTTTCAAAATGAATGTGCTCAGTATTACATTAAGGCTACAATGGCGGAAATCCTGTTGCTTAGTGCAGTAAGTTGCACTAGAGTAGGTCCACTGAATCAGCGGGGATTTAGTGAGTCAACTCCTCCAGAAATTCCACTGATTCAAATGGGACTAGTCTAATAGCAACTTACTATGCAAAGCAAAAGGATTTCAGGCATTCCTATTCCCTTTACATGTGAATAAGTCTCATTGAATATAACATGGTTTTCCTAATATACAGTACATATATAAAATTGTGTTGTTTGATGCCCAAGAAAGCAAACACTTCTAAAAGCTGTCAAGAAATCATCTGCTAAGTCAGCTGACATTGTTCCCTGGACTGGTTCCACAGCCAAAGTGGCTCGAGTTCAGGTGTCACAGAATATAATTTCTGAAAAGGAACGTATCTATGAAATGCTATGCAATGGAGCTGAGGTTCTCAGGGTATCAGATGGGCAGGAGCACATCACCTCCTCTCCGGACAAAACCTTCTGTTGCATTTGAGGGCCGTGGACCTTACATGATGTATACTTACATATTTCTGATGACCACAAGGAACAAAAGTGATGCTGTTATAATTGAAATTTATGAAAAAGGGACACTACCTAATACATGGATGGTAGCCCAGGGATAATGGACCCTGAATCAAAGGAGGGATGTTTGGAACACACTCTTGCAATTTTTAAGAAAGGACTGCATGCCACAACCCGGTCTTCTTCTCACTGAGTTTACTGGATACTAGAAACTCTTAATCCAAAGATCCATAATACTTAATATAGCTATCAGATTAATAACTTCAAAGGTTTTATTTAAAAAATTAGATTTATTTGCATTATTTTAGTTTTGTGCAATTAGCATCTACTATTTTAAGAAGCTCAGTTTGGGTAGCATGTGAGGCTGTTGGTGAGAGCAAGATCCCTCTCAAGGGACTGCCATCCCTCCTGCTCTCTGCAAACACCACCCATTCCTCTCCCAGGAAGATAAAACCACTGGAGGCAAACCCGGGGAACATGGAGGAGAAATTGAAGGGGATGACCGTTGGAGCAGGCGGGAATATTCTGGTGGGAAAAGAATGACATCCCCGGCTGGAAGCTGGGGGATATAAAGAGGGGAGAAGAGAGTCTGCCCCGTGGTTGGGAGTGGATTTGGCTAGAGCACCCATGGACAGGAAAAGTGGAAAAGTTGAGGGTCCCAAGGGAAGAGGCGGATGCCCGAAGGAGTGAAAATATCCCAAAGCCCTCCTATTGGGGGGAGCGTGAGAGTAGGGAGTGGAGGAAGAAGCTGAGGGAGGAAAAGGAGAAAGTTGAGAGAGGAGAGAAAGATTAGAATAGCTGAATAGCTGGTGATGGAGCAGTATCGGAGAGGTCCTTCAAGAGACTATGGCTGGAAAATTCCTCCTCACGAGATCCGATCTGGACAGATGGCTGGGACGAGGATACAGTTCCCCTATTGGAAGGGGAGGGTGGACAATTATTAAACACAGACTTTACCCTGGACTGGCTAGGTCCCTGGAACACCCAGGAGACTAATTCATTCAAAGTTGAAGACTGGAAGCCGCCTCCTAACCCCGTTGTTAGAGGGAGAAAACTGTTGGAATATGTTTGTAGACATAGGCTGTTTGTTGAACAAGCCAATAAATGTTATACCAATCTCTAAACCAAGGAAGTCTGTCAATTTATTTGAAGAAAAAGTAGAGCCAGGACCCGAACTCTCACATAGCAATAATAAAAGGAAAACTGGATTTAATTAGTGAAGCTATTTCAGACAATAATAACTTGGGGTTGTAATCACTACCCTTCTTAACAGAGGTGGACAAAAGGAACGTTCCTAAAACACCTGCTTAAGATTGCTTTTCCTTCTGAAGTCAATTCTGAGAAAGCACAAGTCTGGAAACATTCTAAATTGAGTTGCCAGCTCCATGGACAAGCAGGACTGAAATCCTGCAGCAATTTCTCAGAAGCTGAGCCCAACAATTGCAAATAGTTGTAGTATAATTTGGGGCTTGTTTCCAGCAATTTTTACTTTTTGCAGCAACTAACTTGGAAGGCTTTCTGCCATTTTGCTTCCTCTCATCCTCATGTACCATCAAGTCAAATTTTGACATGGTGAGCCTCTCCAGTGTTTTCTAGGTAAAGAATACTCAGAAGTGGTTTAACATTCCCTTCTTCTGAGACTGTGCGGCTTGCCCATGACTACATAGGCTGGCTGTATTCACAGGAAGAACAATGGGGAATTTAACTCTCAATCTGGCTCCACAGCCAGATGTCACTTGTCATTAAAATACATTTTACATAACATTTGTTTTGGCACTTGTCATTTTTTTTAGGAGGTGGTCTTCTATAAGGAATTGTCTTATGATATCTCCTCCTTTAACTGGGGTGTGGAAAGCCAGAGATGGGGCACGAGGTGTACAATGCAAGACAAGAGATAAGATGCACGCTCCTCAACCACTTCATATGAAAGTTAAAATACAAGAATCCCGATTCTCAACTCATGAGGAGGGCTCTGAAAAGTTACTGTACCCTCTTTGTAAAGGCTTCGAAAGGTGATTTCTTTTCTACCAGATTGCAGAAGGATGGTCAAAATTCGCACGGGGCAGACCTTCGGCACAACACTACTATCGTGACAACGGACAAGGTAAACTTCTCCTAGCTGGCAACTTCCGGACAAGTCAGACCGCAAGCACCATCCTCAAGGCCAGAATGGCTGATGATAAGGACGAGTGTTGTCCACATCTCGGCGGGAGGCAGCTCAGGAAAGGCTGCTGTAAGACATTATTGCAACAAGCACGGGAAGGGACATCCAGCCTTTCCCCTCTAAAACGCCTCTCCCATTAAAGGTCTGTCAAGTCTAACAAGCACTAAGCACGTGAGAATGTGCGCTTTGGCAACACGGCTTTCGAAAAATACCGGGGGGGGGAGGGCGTGATATCTGAACAATCCATGCACCGATCTTGAAAGATAAAGCATTATGCCACGTAAGTATTCCAGAAGAGGAGACAGGACTCACCCTTCCTCCTCTCTTCCTTCAAATCCTGAGAGGCTGCCATGCTGCCAGATAAGTATCACTATAAGCCAAATGATCTCGCTCGGAGCCTCTACGTAAGACTTGGAATACCGCCGTGACCAATAGGAAACAAGTTAAAGCCTCCGGCTCCTTCCTCTCCCCCACCCCTCGCGCCCTCTCCCGGCAGCGCAAAGCATGACGGGAGCGGGATCTCTTTTGTTTTTTAACCAGCGGGCTCGGCCGAGGCGAAGCTCGCGACGAGGGGGCGTGGCTCTTTCGAAGCTGTGGCGGTCGGCGAAAGACTCTACTTCCCATCATGCCGCGGGGGCGCGAAGGGGCCGGGGAGGGGGGGCGGTGGTAGTGGAGGAGGGGGCGGGGCTAGCCGTGATTGTCCCAGCGCGCGAGCTGGGGCTTAGTCAATCAGAACAATGACTTCTCCGCGAGCGCTGGAGGAGCGCAGCTGAGGCGCGCGCAAGGAAGCAGCCGCGGCTGCAGCGCTGTCCGCTGGACAGAGAGGGGACCCTGAGGGGCTGCTTTCGCTCTTGCTACCGCCGCCGCTGCTGCTGTTACTGTTATTGTTTGCGGGAGGGGGGGAAAAGGGGGGAGACCCGGCACTGCACTGTTTAGCATGTGGATTCCGACGGAGCACGAGAAATACGGAGTGGGTGAGTTGAGACCTCCTGGCAGGCACCCGGGTGGCAACCGCTGCCCGTGTGCCCTCTTTCTCCCCTCCCGGGAGCGAGTCGGTGACACTGTTGTAACCAAAAAAAATGAGGAAGCCGGTGCGTCTGTCTTCCGTACCCCCCCTTCTCCTCTTTCAATTCCTCTCGGCAATCCTGCATTTGTACGATTTATTATTTCCAGTGGATACTGGTTTTCTGTTTCCAGGGGAAGAAAACTGCATTTGTTTTACCGCCACTCTGTGCCCCCCCCTCCAAAATACATCTCCGCCAAGTGTTATTTGGACAGAGCGTGGTTTGAAGGGGGGGAGATGAAGAGATCCCGCCTTCCCACCCACCTTCAAATTGGCTGCCCTTAATAATTCACGAAAAGAGGCTTTTCTTTGAATATCGTGTCAAAGGCTTTTTTTAAAGAATGGCTCCAGCGCCACAGCATCTTTTGGAAAAAGGCTGGCCGGTCCAGTCGCCCAGCCGCCGCCTAAGAAACGCAGACTAAGCAAGATTTCAGGATCGTTTAGAAATTTAATTTCTAAATTTCTGATTTAGAAAGTAGAAAACGTAGATTTTTTGGCACAGGGTGTAAGTGCGGGCTAAAGTGCCATCTTTCGTGGCAATGGAGAGAGGCACCGGTGCGCGTCTGAATGTGGTGTGCGTGTGTGGCTTGGCTGTGTAGTGTTTTTGTTTTAATCTGGGTAGTAACGTACTTCCAGTAGTGCTGTTTTTGTTCTCGGGTTTAATGGAGTACAAAAGTGTCTGGATTGCACAAGAAAGCAGACAGGGTGATATATTGCCAATCGGGGAACTTACGGGTCCTGTTTGGGAAGGAGGAGAGGCTCCTACTATCGGTGAACAACAAAGGATGATAGATCTTGAATGCGGAATGGCTCGTTTTCTTCTTCATCCCACCCCCCCCACCCCGCTCTCCTCTTTCAACTGAATTGTGTTGAAACTGGTATTTTATTTCACCTTCCAGTCACTTACATGAGATCCTTCTTAGGCTACTGGGACTGTTCGTTTCGTCCTTCACATAACCAATATTTTCCGTTTTAAAATGGTGTTTTCATAATATTGCACCTCCCCCCCCCAATTAAATTTATTTTAAAACCATGTGAAGACTGTGACTGTGTTCATTTCTTCCCATTGGTCGGGTTTTGAGTTGTCAGTGGGTTTTTTTCCTCACCTCCTATTTTGGAGGTGGGGCGCAGGGACTTTTCAGTTGGCAAAGTGACTCCAGTCCATTTACTGGGAATGGTGCCCACTGATTTACGTCTGAGTGAATGTGTGTGTGTGACTGTACCATTTTGAATCCTGAGGAAGCATTAATCATTGTTGACTGATTCCATGCAAGAATAGCGGTTTTCACTGCTTCACAGGTAAAAAAAGCATGGCACAAAGGTTGTTGGCTTTGGATTGAGGTATGCCTGCAGCATTCAGTTGTGGTTGTAACAGTGAATCCACCCAGAATGCAAAGACTTTTGTGTGATCTCTCTGTGTTTAACAATTAGCATAGGAGACAAATCCATCCTTCGCAACTCTGCTATTGAAAATTGAGCCCAGATGCTGCTCTTTGACCCAAACGCTTAAATTATAGAGATCATGGGCAGGATTTATTTCTTGACTTCTTTATGTGCCCAGTTGCAGCTGGGTTGCAAGATACGTATTGATTAGTCCTCCCGTTGGCCTTTGAGGGGAATGAGCAAATGCATGCACACACGCTCACACGCACACACAAAAACACACACAGAGTTATGGCATGGATTTAAAAGCCACTCTGGTATTTCCTGGAATGGTATGTGGGATATAACTGCTCAAGTATTTCAAGCTGTAATGCCTGCTTGCTTTAAACACACACCACTCTGTCTGACCGGGAATATAGTTTTTCAGCTGAAATACTTATTTCTTAAATAAGGAACAGTATGGTTTAGATGGGGAAGAAGTGTAATTACAAATTGAATTGCCAGCCTAGGGTTGCTAAACTATGACCTTTCGCTTTAAAATGTGCTGATCTGGTTAATTTTGTGTTGAAAATTGTTGCCTCTTTGCTGGAAGAGGAGTGGCAGGATGACTAAACTATTATTCTTGTCATCATGGTAAAGGGAAGAATAGAACATGTCTTTGAGGGGTGAAAATATAAACAGGAGGAACATTGTTTGCTCATCTAAGTATTGGTTCTGCTTCCAGAATTGGTCTACGTGTAAATCACTGTGGTACATTGAGAATGCACAAATCTATTGTCAGTGTTTTAAAATGCTGTTTGTACATGTGCTGTCCTATGGATGCCTCCAGTGTTGAATCAGTGCCCTCTATAGTGTGTTGCTTGTATTCTTGCCAGAAGAACCCCTGGGAACCCCTTCCACACACTCAGTAAGCGATTCTTTCTCAAAAAAATTGTTGTGCAGTCTATCCAGAATCCTGAGATGTGCAGGGCATAAAAATATATATGAAAGGAAATGCCATGCATCCCTTTATTGCATCCAACTGTAACTTCTTTTGATAAAGCAACACTGGGGGTTTTCTTGTTTTTTCTTTTTGTTTTGTTTTGTTGTATGGTTTCAAAATGCTTTTTGAAGTTGAGGGGAATGAGCAAACACTGCTGGCTTCTCAGTCTGATGATTTTGTGCATATTTGCTCAGAAGGAAACCCCGCTGAGTTCAATGGGGCTTCCTCCCAAAGAAGAATATGTTACACAGCAGCTTCATAACACAATCTTAGGCATATTTGCTCAGTTATTCACTACTCTGGCACTTGAGGCAGATAGGATTGCAGTCACACAGCCTAGTACCATAAAGAGTCAGGTTGAAAAAAATCGGCATGTCGGTTCGCCTATGCATGAACAGGTGCAATCAGCCAGTCATATGCACTTCTACCCTGCTATCTTTCTGGCAACAGGTAAAGACTTTCCTTTTTAGGCAAGCTTTTTGCCATCAAATTGAAAGAAAAGGAGAAAGGTGGAGTGGAGTACCCTGTTGTTTTTAGGATGCACTTTTAAAGCGATTTTAATTAAATATTTTCATTCTCTGTTGAATTGTTTATTACTGCTATTCATTGTGTTCTTATTGCCTTTTTTAAGAAGAACTCATTTATGAGCCTCTTTGGGTCCCTATGCTGGGAAAAAGGTGGCAGAGATGTAAAGCAGTCAGAGGTGCATCCCAATATGTTCAACTGTCGCATCAGAATATAATCCTAACTGGTTAGTTAAGCTAAAGGCCAGCTGAGCTGGCATGGAAGCTGCGTAGTCTAGGTATGCTGGTAATTACTTAGGACTACTCTCACCTGGCAGTGGAAGACAGGAGGGCCTGGCATGCTCTGGTCCATGGGGTCACAAAGAGTCGGACACGACTGAATGACTAAACAACAACACTCTCACCTGGACCTAAATTTGTACTAGTGGCTGTGTCCCAGGGCTGGAGAAACTTTGGCTCTAGTGTAATTTAGCTCCTGCCTTGTCATGTCCTTTGTCAGCCTATTTGTCAGTCCTTCTGTCAGCAGAACAGTTCTGCTGGCTGATTGTACTGTTGGCATATCTCTGAGATCAGTCTGCAGAAAAGGGTTCTGTGGGCAGAAGAGGATCTCTGCTAGCAGAGGATACTTGTGCCTAATCCTAGCCCTGAAGCCAACATGACTTTGAGTTAGTTTTTCACTGGCTGGCTGCAGGAATAATCTCACTGAACATTTTAAGACTTCAGTCCTATGCATGCTTAAGGCCTACTGTGTGTAGGTCAGACTTTTCTCCAAAGTAAGCAGCTATTGCATTGCAGCTTAATGTTGTGAACCTCGCATACATACCATGTTTTCCTGAAAAAAATAAGGCGTCTTATATTAATTTTTGCTCCGAAAATGCACCAGGGCTTATTTTCAGGATATGTTTTATTTTTTTTTTCATGTACAACAATCTACATTTATTCTGATACAGTCATGTCACCTTCTGACTGCTGCACAAGGGTGGAGGGCGGGGTTTCACTGAACTGAGGCTTATTTTTGGGGTAGGGCTTATATTACGAGCATCTAGGGCTTATTTTCACCTTAGGTCTTATATTACTAGGGCTTATTTTCACCTTAGGTCTTATTTTTTGGGAAACAGGGTACTTGTGAGTAATCACCACTGGGATGTTTGTCTATATAAATATACATAGGATTGGGCATGGAATAATTTAAAATGACCCAGGCTGGAATAAGGAGTTTTCCTTACACCCTCACATTTTGGCTAGGCATTATATTGAATCTTGGTAGAGTTTATCCACAGCTGAAGACTTTTGTCTAACACCAAAAACTAGATTTTATGTATCAGAATGAATGAATACAATAGCAGTCTTTTGTGTCTGGGCCAGCCCTACCATTAGGGCTTATTAACAGATTAACAGAGCTGCCCCGATGAGGAGGAAGATGGAGTGAGCTTTCTGTTTCTTCCCCATCTCAATGGTAATCTGCTACTTTGAAGTATAATGGGATATGTTGCCAATTGGCTATTGCTGATCTAAGATTTAATTATTGGACTGGTTGCATTTTTGTATGTAGAAGGGAAAGGGGCACCATCTTGTTCTTTGGCTTAAAATACTTGGACCAGTCCTGGTTACATTGCTGAAATTGTCCTTTATTTCACACCAAGCTCCATTTGCTCCTTAAATAGGAAGGTGTTTTGGTTTAGAGATTACCTCAGATTATTGTTTTGCAAATCAGCCCCTATGCAGTTTCCTTAAAAATCTAATTTTAATAAATAACATGCTTAGGGCACAGTGGGAAATTACTGAGCTGTGTGTTATGCTCTTGTCTTTAACTAAAGGCCATTTAATCAAAACTGGAGTAAGTAACAGAGGAAAGCGGGAGGTTGTTCCTCAAATTAACAGTGAGGGACCTGGTTAAATCTCGAACTGGCTAATGTCAGTGCGACCTTAATTTCCACGTTTTTTAAGTCAGTAGAAGAGGTTCAATCTCTTTTGTCAGAGATGGGCTAGGTAAGACCTGCTCATGGCCTTATCTAATCATTA